TGAAAAGTAAAACCAATTCGTGGTTTATAAATAGCAATAGTGCTTTTCTTTAAACCGTTTTCCAACATAGCTGGGCTGATGATGGCCCAAAATTGGTTTTGATATTACCACTGTGAGAGTTGGACCTTGTGGACAAATTAACTAAAGAGAACATCTTTAAAACAAAATAGGATGTTCTCCCGAAATGATGATTGTCACCAAGGATGTTAGATTCAGAGACAAGGAGAACAACATAATGAGCATGTTTTTGCTTGCATTGGTTTTACCAATAAAAATGCCGTTTTACACACATATACACACATGTATGATTTCCAACAATTGGATACAACCAGCGAACACAAGGATGTAAGAAACACATAGTACATGGTGCAGAACATGTCACAAAAAATGCAACAACACTTCTCTTGACAGAATCAGACCCATTGGAAAGTGTATCACAAAGAGGAGGTGGGAGGAGGTTTGTACTTGTCATGAATTTATTTGGGGATATGCCAGCACATAGGGACAGGCGTTGTTGATCGGGAGACTGGGTTTTGAACTTTGATCAGCAACCCACAAAGCGGTTAATAGTTCACAGAAATGCATGTAAATTATGGATGATTATGGTGTATTTGCAGACAACTATGATATAACTATGCACACTTTATATGGTTAGTTCCAATTAGTACATATGAATCATATGAGATTTGCGGATGTACTGTTTATGCGGATGTTTATCTCATAGTGCAGGATCCTTTCTGATTTCGCTGTCGCACATCCTACAGGTCGCATTGCTGGATATTGCAGGTGCAGCGGTTGAATGTTTCGGGTGCCATCTTCGGGGTTTGACTCCGTGCCAGGATTTATCGGGCTGTATCGGTATCCTTTAAGGAGTACACCCACACGCTCTCAAAGTCATAGCATAGTGTGGTTTTGGTCAATTTAGTGCCGATGGATTTACTCTAACCCCCCACATCTGATGTAGGCAACCGGTTTTTTTCACTGACCAGGCAGTCCTTTTAGATTTGGCCCATCCCATGATGCTGGATATGTAGATATTGAGTTTCCCTCTAGCTACAGCAGCTACAGGCAATGTCCATACAGGCCAGCAGGTTGATTTGGACTTGCCCAACTGTCCATAGTTCTAGCATTTTAGAGGTGCTTCAAAGCTGTTTTCCCCTGGAAAATCTCGACAGGAATTCGGAGCATGTGATTTCCATGGGGTCAACCCACCCCCGAGCACAACTGAGGCAAGCCTGCGTGTTTTGCCTTTGCACCGCCTGAGAAGCAACTTGAGGACTACACAATTTTGCAGCGGCCGGAGATTTTGATTGAGAGATAGATATAGCATGATATAGCCACGTAGAGCTGGTTCATGAGAATCCGTCACTTATAAAGGGAAAACCCACAGGGTCAGTATGCTGAGGGTGTTCTCGAAATGGGAACTATACACTGATGTAGCTGCAGCCCATTAGCATCGACAACCGTGATTATTTCTTGAAACTTGATCATTTGCTTTACATGTTTATAGCTCCTGAGTCAAGAGTGCGAGACCTTCAGTGAGAAAGTTGAAGTTCATTCTAGCATTGATGAAGGCATGATTTAGTCAGGTTTGTTTGTCCGCTGATGGTGTATAGAGCATCAGCTTTTGACAAACCCTTCTTTTAATCTGCCGTCATGCTTTCAAGACTATTCCGCTTTTAAGACTTGCTGCTGCATTAGAATCTGCGAGTATGTTACTCAGTGCTTTCATATCATATATGTTCACAGAAATTCATATAGTTGACACATTATTAAAAAAAAAATATATACCCATTAGTTTCATGGGTTAAACTCATAAACCCATTCAAAATCATTCTCTGAGAAAAAACCCATTGGCAGTTGTGGCTTCAAGTTCTTGATGAGTTGACCTGCTGGGTTTCCCATCCGAAATCAGATCTCCGATCCGAAATCAGGAGCAGATTCCAGCTGATGCCACAGATGAACCAATGCCCAGCAATCTGCCGGAGGCCACGACTGGAACGACTGGAATTGGGATAGGCTTCTTGTGTCGACTCCAAATGAACAAAATGTATCAAAATGTGGTAATGGTTATAGGTTCTAAAAGGGGTTCTGATTCCATGAATAGGATTGCAAATGACCTATAATTGGTAAAGGGCCATAACTGTAGCAACTTGTTCAATCCATGATAGCACCCTTAAGTAGGCGTGCATTTCTTTCAGAGCCATGCGAATGGATTTTGAATGATTTTGACATGATGGCTATCAAGGCTAGAATGAGTAGCTATGAGTAGCTAAGTCCAGTACATTATCCATGTGGTATATCATGTGGAGGGTATGGGTATATGATTTTATGCTGCTTGATTTCCTATGTGGGTTTGGGTCAAAGATAAACAAATCCACAAATTTGGTAGTACAGTAGTTCAGATCGCCCGCTATTCCAATCTACTCATTCTCTTCCTTGGGCATGGGGATGTTCACTGGCTATTAAGGTCTTCACCCGAACTCACCAACTATCCTGAGTTGTCCTGCCCAGATTCCAGAGCTGGACGACGATGAAATGGAATTCAGATTCCTGCGCGGCAATGACTGTGAGGCCCAAACTCCGATTGTGATGCGAGACAGATTTTCACTCTATGATATGCATTTTGCATTTATAAAATTGTTTTCGGGGAGTGTATGGGTCAAAAAAACCGGTAAAGTTGGATAATTGGGATACCTACAAGCTGGATGGCTTTGGAGCTTCGGTTTCAAGCTGAACATGACCAAAGATTACACCAGATAACTTCCACATCGTGATATCCGTCAGGCAGCACCAGGCAGCACCCAAGGGCAATCTCTCCATGTATCAGATTTTTTTTTCTGACGTCCCTACTATTGTTTGTTCATCATTTCTTTCACCTTTGCGAACCTGTCTTTATCAATTCTAGGCCCCATATTTTAAGGCGACCATCAGAGCATTATCATATACTGTATACATGTATATCGAGATGTACAACAAGATTGGTTTGTTTGCATGTGTAGCACAGTACATTGTATGTATACATGTAGAACAATATTGGTGTGCTTACAAGTGTATATGTGCCTATTTATGATAATTATCCATGTCTAAAATGTGTACACTCTACGTTATATCGTGTCGTCGCAATATCTACATCGATCTATATAATTTGTTTTAACTATATATATATGTTTATATATTATATTAATTATTATTATGTTATTGTACCATATATTATATGTGTTTAACATTATACTCACTATAACTATCTACGTGTTGTACCATATTATATTATATATATTGTACACATGAAGATAATATCATCCCAAGTAGGACAAGCTGTTAGCTCCGACCAGCGACAACGGGCGTCCGGCAGGTGTCGGAGGTGTTGAGATACCCTGCCCTGCCATTGGAGCCACCGATAAATGTCACATGCAGGCGTGGCTGCAATGGAAACAGATGGAAACCATGGCCCATTTATAATATAGTGCCCCAAAAGAAAGAGGATTTCGCATGATTTTGCTATTTACAATGATTTAGCTATTGATGCTGATGCTGCTCATGATGATGATGATGATGATGATGATGGGGATGGGACATTTCGATAGAAATTGAGATGATATTTGGCTCTGTCTGAAAATGATGTTAATCCAGTTAATCCCCAGAAACATGACTATTTATATAATAGGGAAATTGTGATGATTAATCCATGGAATTAGAGGTCTGCTATTTTCAGACGAACCTACATTTGACTCCTGGTGGTTTAGTGAAACAAAAACTATAATTGTTTCACTATGAGAGCTCTTCTGAATTCCCAGAATTGGTATGAAGAAAAACATGCAGGACAATTATTTGATAATTTTGATATCAAAGCCAATTTCGTCCAGCTGTCCTCTCAGATCAGCTGTCCTCTCAGTCGGGATCATTATCCTTTCTGCTGGCGCATTCCTATTGTAAGGGTCATGAGGGCCAACTTTGCATCTGAACGAACATGCATTGCTGCATTAATCTACACCCACTCTGCTGCTGATTTTGCCTGAGCTGATTGCGTTGGATTCGAAACAGTCCTGAGATGTCCGCAGAAATGACACGCTGCTGCTGGAATCACTGCTGCTGCTGCTGAAACCCGAGACATTCCACCAGCTCAAGTGTTTTTTTGGTCAGGTTGAAGATGACTGAACCGCACTCCACCTTTGGCGTTTCCATCAGCTTCTTGGTGCGAATCAGTGGGCTGGGTTTCAGATGATCGGATTCATGCACACTGACAGGTGAGTTGCCAAGGGGGTGACCCCGTTCCAAAATTGGGTATCACAACGTTTATCAATGGGAAAACCATCGAAAAAACATGGTTTTGGGGTACCCCCCGTTTTGGGAAGCCCCAGTGAATCTGACACATGTCCCAGGTTTCCACGGCGTTCCCAGTTTGGGCTTTCACTCGGTGCCGGAGGAATATCAATTGATGCTCCAGGTGCGACACCGCGGAGAGTGAGGGATGGAAAAATAGTGATATCCTGTTATGAAAGTGAATTAGATTTACTACATCTTACTGGATATCATGACTGGATATCACTGTTTCAGTATGAAAAAAACTGGTTATTTTACTGTTTCAGTGAGATTGTGATTCCACTGGATATTTTCCTGGATTTATCACTGAAACAGTGCTATCAAGTGATATCATGAAAATTCATGACAGTTATGTTTTGAGTTTCTATAATTTGAAAAGCCATCAAGAACCATCAGTAGTGATGAAAATTAACGATGCAAAATTGGTCCAAGTGCTTGGGATGAATATGATAAATTGTGTATGAACAAATAAAGTACACATACATGTAGGACTAATATGCACTAGTAGATGCATGTGTGTGTGTTTTTTTGTACACTATGTACAGATCATACAGATATGATGTACAGTAACAATGTAGGTGTTGATTCAAAAACAACAATTGTTGTGGCCACCTGACATACTTCCCATGAAACACATCACCTGCGTCTCAGCAGTCTCAAGGTTTTACTCTTAAATCATGGCGACAGTGCTCACTGCGTCGTTGTTGTCCAACAGATCGGGCAATGGCGATATCTCTGTGATGATCACGACTTCTTTCAGTGGCAAAAGTGTTTGTAGCTTCCAGCTGCCTTGTGGAACGTTGGTGGATCTAGAGAAAGTCCTCTGTGATCCGCAGGGCCCAATGTTCTGGTGTTATCCTTGGTCTCGCCTCCTTTTCTACATAGAAGATGAGCCATTGAGGCCATTGGACATGAACCTGCAGCTGGGTACTTTTGACTCGCTTGTGATCAAGCGTGGCGATATGCAATCTTGTCTTGAGAAGTTCCCAGACACCGGCAAATTCCTGGATGCTATGCGCGGCAATAAATTTGACCCGGGGACAGCACATCTTGAGGGGACATGGACAGCAAGATCAGCACCTACAGTTCCTGCTGATGAAGCTGAAGCCATGGTTCATGAAGTCCTGAATGGATTGCCACTCCATGCAGACAGTGGCCTGAATTTTGTTCGGATCTTTGGGGAGCTGACTGCTTTGGGCGAGACATGGAATATACTCAACTTGGAATTGCTGCAATAGTATGACCCGGAGCTCAGGAAGTTCAAGCACTGTGTTTCCCATCATTGGCTGGAGGTTGCTCGTTGTGCAGCCACCTGGATGATTACAGAAGCACCGCCCATCCTGCTCCTCAAAAGAGGGAGCAGTGGTAAAGTGATTGGTTGTGGTGTCATCGGCGATGCCTTTCCGGACAACTTTACTGCCAACTTGTCAAATTCGCTTCGGTTGCTTGATCTGTCTCCAAATGTTCGTTGGAGCAATGCTTGGATTTTCTTAGGAGGCCGGGCAAAGGCCAAACAAACAAAACCATGGTATTATTATAAACTGTCCAATCTGGGGATGCACATGCGTGGATGTTTGGAGCATCCTTTTGATACACATGCATGGATGTTTGGAGCATCCTTTTAAAGGATATTTTGATGCAACATGTTGCCAAAATATGTTGCGCTTGGCACGTTTCAGCCAATGTACTGCGCCTGCCACGTGACTTGTCTTAAGTTCTTAAGATGTTGCGCCTGCCACTCATTGATGTACTGCGCCTGCCACGTGACTTGTCTTAAGTTCTATCTAAAGATGTTGCGCCTGCCACTCATTGATGTACTGCGCCTGCCTCTCTATATCATAGATAATCATTATAATCAATATCATAGATAATCATTATAACCACTCGGATCATCAATAGATTTCCATGATATTCAATTTAGGTCCTAGTTTTGGGGGGGGGGCAGGCCAAAAAATACATCACGTCATCAATCACCCTACTTGGGGGGTCGCTAAAGGGGAAGGTAGGTGAAAAAGATGATATGTGATAGTTAAGATTTTTGGGGTTTTGGGACACTGCTTGCAATGACTTGATCCTTGTTGTTCCGAACAGTATAGCAAATCTTGGCAAAGCAATGGAGTTTTGGGAAAAAGCGACGTGCCGTTGAGAGCGTTGGCTCAAAGTGATCGAAAACCATCTGCAACTACTTTGGAAATTCTCCATATCATGCCTCGCCGTGCCCAGACCAAGAAGGGTCAGGCTGCGAGCTTGCCAGGGAAGCTCTGGGAAGCATCTCCCAGCTGCAAGCATCAGCAGAGTGGATCACTGCAGTCGCGTCAGCTTTGAAATCCTGGGCAGAACGAAACCGATTGGAGGAAAAGGTCAGTCTTGAATTTGTGGATTTGGATGATTTCTCCATGTTCTGGTCTTTGGTTTTGATAGATCCTTAAGAACCCAATCAGAATCTAGGTTTTACACCACCGAAATAGTGATTCAGCGATGCCTGTTCGACACAAATTCGGAGCCGAACGTTCGGCTCCATACCTAGGACTAGCCAGGCTGAGGTTTTTCAGAAAAAATCACCTGTGTAGTTTCCACCCAACTTGTTATAAACTACAAGTGAGGAAGCTGATCATCACCAACTCAGAGCTGAACGTTCGGCTCTGAACTACTGACTTGCAGCGAGCGTTGAAACCATGTTTGGAAACTTCAGGGTGTGCAGTTTGGTCTGAGTGCTTCGAATAGCCGCTATCACTGAGTGATCGAGTAGAGACGTAGCTAGACCCATTGCCATACAGCTATGCCTACTAAGCGCGCTGCTGCTGTGTGTGAAGCAGAGCCGAAAGGCAAAAAGGGAAAGCAACAAGGCTTAGACTTGGTGCAAGTAGAATTGTCCAAGCTTCCCAGGGCTTCCCTGGCAAGCTCGCAGCCTGACCCTTCTTGGTCTGGGCACGGCGAGGCATGATATGGAGAATTTCCAAAGTAGTTGTAGATGGTTTTCGATCACTTTGAGCCAACGCTCTCAACGGCGCGTCGCTTTTTCCCAAAACTCCATTGCTTTGCCAAGATTTGCTATACTGTTCGGAACAACAAGGATCAAGTCATTGCAAGCAGTGTCCCAAAACCCCAAAAATCTTGTTTTTTCCACCTGATCTACCGGGATGTCGCCAAAAAAACCCTTTAGGCGACCCACCGTTGACAAAACTAGGACCTAAATTAAATATCATGGAAATCTATTGATGATCCAAGTGGTTACAATGATTATCTATGATATTGATTATAATGATTATCTATGATATAGAGAGGCAGGCGCAGTACATCAATGAGTGGCAGGCGCAACATCTTTAGATAGAACTTAAGACAAGTCACGTGGCAGGCGCAGTACATCAATGAGTGGCAGGCGCAGCATCTTAAGAACTTAAGACAAGTCACGTGGCAGGCGCAGTACATTGGCTGAAACGTGCCAAGCGCAACATATTTTGGCAACATGTTGCATCAAAATATCCTGTAAAAGGATGCTCCAAACATCCATGCATGTGCATCCCCAGATCGGATGGTTTACAATCATACCATGGTTTTGTTTGTTTGGCCTTTGCCGGGCCTCCTAAGAAAATCCAAGAATGTGTCACTTGTTTTGGTGTCACTGGACTGGAACCTACAAGAAGGCTTAGCATCCTTGGATCATCTCCTGACCAAGATTGAAGAGGAACCCTGTGAGTTCGCGGCACTTGCACACCATCAGGTCTCTAAGATGGTCCACCTGCAGCTGCGCTTGTCATTTTGCGGAGTTGCAGAAGTCAAAGGGCCCATCAATGAGACATGTGTCAAGATACTCGCAGAGCTGCTTGCCTACAAGCTGAAGATATTGAAGTTTCAAGGTGTGCCAGACTTGAAGACTCAGCTGAGTTGCTTCGAATGCGAGGCGAATTACCGTGGAACGTTGGTACTTGTGACAGATATTCCAGCCTCCCCAGGACAAATCTTGTGTCCGCCACATCGCATGGTCCTTTGTTACAGTTCCGAAGAGTAAAAGGTGCATAGAGGTGCCACAACGCACCAGCCTTTGTCCGCCAGAAAAACCAAGACTGAGTCAGGGCAAAAGTGCAAAAGCCGACTGAAATTCAGCTGTGTTGTGTGCAGTTTTTTCTTCCCCATGTTTCCCCAGTTTCAAGTGTCCTTGTTCTTCCTTTGAGTAAGCGAAATCCTCAATTTGGAAAACGGGTGGAACATGGCGGAACCACAATTTACGGGGCTTCAACCGGGGAGAACTCGGACTTTTTCCAGCTTAAGGTCAGGATCAGCTACAGCTACGGATTCACCCTCAAAGAAGTCCACCAAAATCCAGAAAATTTTCGGATAAACATGGATAAACCCACAAACAAGCCACAGAGATTGGACATCAACCATCCAGAAATGTGCTTTATACCAGCAAAAATGTTGGATCCACGACCGAAATTAGGCTTTTAACCCACGGGATTTGTGGTTCTTACTGTCATTTGTCAGAGTCAGACGTCCCTTGCAGTGACAAAGCCCTGGGTTAGAGCGTTCACCGGGATTAGGTTGCAACCAACGGGAGGCATTATGACGTATTCATGGTATTCATAGCCGACAGCAGCAGATTGGATGTTGCTCCAACCTATTCTATTTGTAGGTCAACGATTGCCACAAGGGGCGGGAATTTGCCGCATTTTACCTCTACATGATATAATTTATATAGCTGGTTGACCCCCCATTGGCCCATTGTAGGCTGTTGGGAGCAGCCCTGTCCTCTTTCGCACAGGAAATGGAGGGTCCCGAGGTTGTCAAGGCGGGATGTTGATCCCAGCCGTTGGATTTGGGTGGTGAAACATGTTCTACACACTATATTGATATTTAACAGTTATCTAAACTATGGAAAATCAACATTTTAATACGTAAATATGTATGTATGTATGTATATATATAGTTGCGGAGATCATCCGCATGTTCCATAGTTATGATAAATTACCAGAGGGTATAATAATTTTATATGCTGTAATATATATATATAAACTTATATAGATATGTATATATAGATATAATTATCTATATGTATACATACGTATACATGTCTGCATGTGTGTGTGTCATAGTTCAAGCAGGGTTCGGGGGATGGTCATCAATCCATATCAGGAAGAAATTATGTACCTGTTATATGAATTCTAACGGTTGGGTGACCATACTGCATTCATCCCATTAAAATCCATGAAAGACCCATAGATTCCGGAATCTCCCATTCTATTGCCATTAAATCCCATAATTTTGTTAGTTAGCCTATGGTAAACTGTCTATAGTATCTATAGATGATTCCCCCATATCAAATGTTATTGTTTTCATATGTTAGTTTACTGGAGGTAAATTCCCAGCATTTTGCTTGGTGCAGACTCTCAGATTTGGCCAGGAGCAGCTCCTTCCACCCCAGCGGCTGCCTTTAAGTCGAGTGGCTGAGGCCGTGTAACTGGGATATGGAGATGGTTAAACATGGTTAAAACACTTATGTTCCAAATGTTTTTTTTGAGAACAGGGTACCAGGGTTGTGACTACGACCATATTATGCAAAAAAAAACATAATATACCATTATACCGTGTCAAACCCAGTATTGGTTGCTATGTGGGTATCAGGCAAGCCATTGGGGTGCCCTTTTGAACCCTGACAAATGGTTGGAACATGTGAATTGAAAGGATTTTTTATACATCTTAAGAATGATTTTGACCCACCTACACATCCACGCAGTTTAAAGAATTGTGCATAGACTGACATATATATATATATGCCTGAAACCTCTTGCTGCGGCATGTACATGTATAATCTAAATTTAAATATATATATATATATATATGTACATATATATATATGTACATATATATATATATATGAACATGTACATATATAATACATATATATTTATATTTATATATATATATTTATACCTGCTAAACCCTTAGATTGGAAAAAAAAACTCTGTTTCCAGAAAACCTGGTTTTTTGCAAACAGTGTAGAAAAAAGTGCTCTAGAGCACTTTTTACCGTTCGAGGCTATTCTTGGGCCTTTAGGGTATATCATTTCCAATCTCAGGTGAACATAACTGTATAGAGGGAGATGTTTGTATATATTTACATATACATATATATATATATATGATATTAAAAATACATAGAGGTTTCCTGAAAATTGCACATGCATACAAACACTTGCATATACACTATATATATATATATACATATTTGTAATCATCAACATGTGGGATTGAGAAACAATAATATAGCGCACCAAGGCACAAAATTACATGTCTTGTTCCCAAATTCAATTTATATATATTATGAATGGTCTGATTGGTCCGAGGCCAAACTCATAGAGGTAATTAAATACCTTCGTGGGAATGTCACCGGAGGAATGGAAGCAATGCTTTCCAACAAGACTGTGATCAAGTTTGATCAGAGCGGTTATGGGGAAAGGTATACCCTAAATACCAACAAAATGTTTTGAAACAATTTCACTGCCTACATATATTCGATCAAATGGTTTTGAGGGACAGGTAGGCAGCTGCAGGGAACCCTGAAATTGTAAACTTCATTTTTCTGAATGGTCAGGGGGGCATGTTGACCCGGGAGCACCCATGGATTGCCAAATATTGGCTGTGTCACTTTTGTCATGGTTTGAATGGTGGCTATCTGGGATTTTTTGACCCACAATGGAAAATAAACAGGAACCTTCAGGTTTTTAAGCGTTTTCCAAAAAAAAAGAGAAAATCAAGAAAAACAAAAAAAAAATAAATGGAAAAAACGGATTGAAAAAAAGCGTAAAATTACGTAAAAAAAGCGTTCAGATTGGAAATTACCGTTCAAATCCAATTGCGTTTAAAAAAACGTACCCGTTCGAAAGCGTTCAAAAAGCGTTCGAAAACCGTTCGAAACCGTTCGACATTACGCAAAATTTTACGTAAAATGAAAGACTTTTCAAGATCCAAACCATGCCGTCCCCAAAGTCACCTGGACCACTCTGGGAAAACTTGATTCAAAACATTGACCCTTTTCAGATTTACTATCCGCAGTTGACGTGCTGGAAAAGATTTTACCGTAGTGTACTAGAGGTTACACCATAATTTTGAAGGTATTTTGAGACTCATATATCCCTTTTCAATTTACATCAGTTTTACTGACTGGGATGTGCATGCATTTATAGCTTTTGATTGGCAATTATACAATTTTTCACTTGGCAAAGCAAACGTCTCAGTCCTGTGGTTGGTTTTTTGTTTCAGCAGTATAAGCCTCACAATCCCAAATCCTGCTAGATCGCGTGAGAAAGGTCAGATGAAATTTCCTCTGATTCCAAAGATTCACCCACTGGAAGAGATTCTTTTCCTCATGGAACACCAAGCCAAGTTCAGCCAATGGGTTTTGAATCCAATGGTAGAGAGTTGCAGTCTGGATGAGGACTTTATTGGGCATGCTGCCTACATAACCAGACATGTATCACCTCGTTTGATGGCATTGCGTACCTTCAACCGGTACCTTACCCAGATCATGCTGGCTTGGCGAAGCTGATAGCCTGCAGTTGTTTCCCTCTATAAGACTATACATATATATATATACACATCAGCTTTATATTGGTGTTTTCACAAACAACAGCCAGTCAGCTTGAGTTTGGAGGCCATCGTAAGATATCATGCCAAATGTTATGATTTAGTCATTTTGCAAGGAAAACACCTCTAGAGCGTAAAAAAGCGTTCGGATTGGAAAAAACCGTTCCAGAGCACTTTTTGCGTTCAAAATTGCAAAAAACCACGTTTTCTTAAAACAGAGCAGAAAAAAGCAATCTGGAGGGTTACCAGGTACATATATATACATATATATATATACATATGGTCACCCCCACCCCCACCAGGGCCTACCTTGAGCTTTGTTTCGCGGTATTTGCAGCAAAAAAACATTTATTTCATTGTGCAGCCTTTTGCGTGATTTACACACTACCACACAAGTACCGTGCAGTTCCTTAATTGCCACCTGGTTACTACACATCCTAAGGCTCGGAGGGTGAATTAGGGTTATGTTGTTCAAAAAATGCTTCATTTCTTTCATTGGGATGTTTACATAGACTATTTCATTGCGAGGTCAACCATTTGCTATCTTCCATTTGTCCAAAAAAACAAAAAGAACGCAAATATAGCAGATGGTTGACCTCGCAATGAAATAGTCTATGCAATATAAAAAAGGTAGGCCCTGGTGGGTGTGTGTGCATATATCTATATGTATATATATATATATATGATATTATCCTAGAAAGACTAGAAAGGTCAGTTTCCATCAATGATATGTATATTATTGCCATGACTATATGCAATGCATGGATTTTTATGTGTATATATATATATATACATGATATGATATGTATTTATCCATGGTTTTGAATCTACATTGCCATGGGTCGAAACCAAAGATTCAGCACTTGAAGTTCCACAGCCTCAATAGATCAACCAACCTGCAGCTGTACAAAATGCGGCCCCATAGTTATAAGTGTATTTAAACAGCTGTGTCCCACATAAACCCAGCAGTAAACAAAAACTAGTTGCACCAACTTAGCTATCTAAATCATCTAAGTCCCAATCTCCATGAAGTCACCATGTGTTGCTGCTAAAATACCTATCTCTCTGGGGGCAGGGCCGACCTTCATCCCTGCAAGGCCTTCCCTGGCGCCTTGCAGCGCCCAGATTTCCTCTGCGCCGCCGGCCGGGCCAAAGCTCCTGCAGCGCGGGGCGGCGGACAACATCCACGACGCCTGGGGGAATTGGAGCACCTGGATGAAAATGCTGGGGGTAGCGATGTTAGTAAACAACAAAAAATGGTGGGATTCACCATACCTTATGTTAGTAAATAATGCTGGGAGTGGGTAGTGATTGTTGGTTACTGGAATAAGATCCGTTGTTCGCAAATTTACAATTTTTTACTACTTGATAGAATTGGTATTTAACCAGCCAAGAAGGGGATTGGGGCACTAGAAAATATGTATTTGAGCAATGCATGGTGGATACATACAGATATAGATTTGGTCAGATTTAGCGGTATGATAATCACCTTAGAATTGCAATTTCACTGCGGGGAA